ATAACATGGCATTTTTTTACTTCAACTCACTCGTCTACGATATCGAATGAAAATCCCATAGGAACCGACGGACCAATTTATTTTGTGATTACGAGTAACTCTTGAATCCAAACGCTCAGTGAAATGCATGCAATCACTTGAAAATGTATCACGGAATAACTATGGAAAAGGAAAATAATTCATACAACTGTGTAAATAAACACGACTTTTGATTTAACTAGGTAGTTCAGAATAAAGATCTATGTAATTTTTACAAACAGTAAATATAGTACGCTTTCCAAGGGATTTGTCGACCTCTTTATACAACAAGTAACAGTACTCAGAATTACTGTATACAAACTACTATGGTCAAACTAACCATTGTATATTTATTATAATTATTGATACTATGGGTTTATTTAAAATGAAGGATAAATGAACTGAGTATGATTAGTATACCATTGGATTTCATAATGCAATCATTCAATGGACACCTAAAATAAAGAACGGCTTTTTTAATCCTAACATTAACACAATTACAGTTTGCTAAGTACAATTTATCTAACTGCTATAATCTTTATGGAGATTCCCCACTTTAAAATGACTATACCTATGCACACAAAACAGAATAAAGAAGTAGAATTATATCAAAATAAATTTACCTCTTTATGTGTGAGATTATTTTTGAATACTCGGATCATGAACTCCCAAACATCTCGTTCAAAATTTGATGTGTTAGGAGACTTAAATTGTTCATTTGTTTCCGATTTGTTTGCTGAGATTGAATTCTTAACACCACTAGAGACTAAGCCTTGTGATAAAATCTAAAATTTAAAAAACCAAATCAGAAGTAAAGCAGTTTTAGTTGTTTTGATTATACATAAACAGTAGAATACTAACCCATCACCACAGTAAATAAATACACAGAAACCAACTTCGAGAACAGAAAGAGGTTAACAGACTTAATGATAAGTTGGTAATATTGATTAAGACTACTCCACATATTGACATTTGTTTATTGATTTGAACACATAAATATTGGTACGAAGGGGCACCGAATAGATATGCGCTGTGATACTCCCCGGGTGCCCAGACCGAAGCAGGACATATTGACAATATAACTGTCGAAACAATATCAAATTTGTTAAGAATAACTACATAGGTGGTGGTGTTTTGTGTTCAATTTACCGTACTTGTTAATTCTCTTATTACTTAGTAGTCTTCGGACGTTACTTCACTTGACAAATGCCAAATCAGGACGTGGTTGAACATGAAAGTAATTATATTCTGGATAAACAAGAGTGAATGGAAGCAAGAATCACAATAGGGTTACTGCTGGTTCAAAGCCCGGGTAAACGAGGAGGGTTAAGCATGGGATCAGCAACCCCGCACCGTAGAAAATAACCTTGCTAAAAGAACGCTAACCACGGCCTATCCAAGCATCCGCTAGCGCCGATTGGTTAGGAAGTAGCTAGTCAGCGTGTTCCAACACAACCCTGCACGGAACATGCTTTAACCCAATCTATATCTCGCTAACATTTTACAACATTGTCAAGAAACTATATGCAACTAATTCGTGAAAACCTTTGAAAAAGGGATAAAGGCACTTTCAAAAACAGTTTACAAATAAGGTTAAGCAAATTATACATAGAATGGCGACAGTTAACAAACCTCTTCAGGTTGTATATCTCCGGTATCAACAAGTAGCTGTTGTCTTCTTTGAAGTGCATCATGCGTCAAAGCATTTACGCACCTACGAACATTCCGATATAGAAATACCGGTCGAATACGAGAACAGATACTATGTGGAACATAACCAATAGTCCATGAAAGATGAGTTGTAAGATAGTCATACCAGTGCCGGATTGAAAAATTCGACTTTAAATTTTCTCTGTGAAGACGAACCTCCCCATCTACGATGCCAGGATCATCCGAAGTAACTAATAATGAATGAGGATTAAGCTTTGTGTGACCGGAATAAGGAAAACATGAATCATAACTTTTCTCCCCTTCAAGTTTTGTTGAATGCATAGGTTTCATAAGGCGGATAAGCATAGTAGATGTCTCCGAGAGTACCACCATTAGAAAACAATTTGGCCAGGAATTAGTATTACTGTTGGAAGTAACATTCGTATTATTTTGACTAGTACTGGATGGAAACGTTCCAGAACTAGATCCAACGTTGCAAGATCCATTAGCACCAGCAAAGGCGGAACAAATAGTCATAGCTTGAGAATGGTATGCACTTTCATTAGCTAACCTACACACACGAGTGTACAATGGACCACAAACGTTCCTACAGAGAAAAAGATTCAATCATCTCAATTAAAAATAAACAGCTCACTAATATGGCAATATTCAATAAGCAACTAAAAGTTGTCCGTTCAACTTTCAGGTTACAGAATGCGGTTTACTAATTCATATAGAATTTTATTTAGGTTTGGTGGCAACTAATTACGAGTTCGTAGGTGTCATTACCAAGGTTTGATTTGATAATTTCGAATAAATTGAGCATTGGGTAGATTGCTATAAATAAAAATAATATATTTGTAATATCCCAATGAGTAGAAAAATTAGATTTTCTGACGTTTCGTGACTTAGTGTAAGTCACTTCTTCAGAGAATAAATAACCAAGTTAAAATTAATCCAAGTTTAAATAGTACAACGGAACAGTGCAAGAATAATATTTGATCAATCAAAAAACAGGTCTGAACAAGTTGATGTCATGTCATTTCTGTCAAGGTGATTTATAAGTGATATGTATGTAAATTTGTGTATGTATAAGTGCATTGTTTAAGAATGAAAACTTGTGTGACCTTTATGGTAAGAAAGGATAGAGTTTAAATTTGTAATATGGTAGTGTGAAATTGTAAATACGATCAGACTGAATGGCTAGGATAGATGGTCCAAGTAGGATGTATAGTAAGACCTTTCTATTGAGAGAAGTAGGATTAAGCATTATATGGAACGCCTCAGCTACCCTCCTTTCTTTGTAGTTGGAAAAGCCTTTTTGCAATATTTTGATGACACGCAAAATCGTGAAGCGTTCCATATTTTTCCCGACCGTTGTTGCTACCTTGACGTGGTGGTCGGGCTTGCCTATCGTGATGAAGCAACCGAGCTATACTGGCTGGAACAACCGTTCCTCAAGGTCCTACCATGTCAGACAGGTCGGTTGAAGAGCGGTAAGACTAAAAGCAACAAACCCAAGGTCCGAAGGCGAAGTCGTACCGCTGACTGTACAGAGGTGTGACAGCAGTAAGGTGTTTCCTTCAGACAACCAGCATGACAGCGATGCTGCCTTCCCACAAGGAGGGGTGGGGTTAGAAAAGGTCGACCCTAAAAATGCACACCTCACCTTACCTCACGGATTTCCGTCTCCGGCGGTAAGGCCCTTTGAAGAACGGAGCTAACACGTCGAAAACCTTCCACGAAAAGGCCGTGCGCGACCGGCCTCAAGCAGTTGTCCCTTGGGCACTGCGGTCACGCTCTCAGGTCACTGAGACCACCTCTAATCCAATTTCCTTTTCAGGTACCTCCAGAAGAACCCTTCCACGGTGTGGGCAACCGGGAAGTGATAACCGCCCTCATACCTCTAACAGCACCCAAGACCACTGTATTCATAATCAACCTTCCTCTTCAATTCCTATTATTCCTCCTACATCGACTTTCAACCCTAAACTTCCTCCTTTGGCTTCCTCCTCAAGTGTCACCATAACCAACGATTCTAGTGCTCAAAACCCTGCCCCAGGTCTACTGAAACCTCGCTCCAAACTACACATTGGAGCTTTCAACGTACGCACTCTATGTCAAATCGGTCAGCAGGCTTCCTTGGCTAAAACCCTAGAGTCTCTTTCCATTGATGTATGCTGTGTCTCTGAAACACGCATACAGGATCCCAGTGTGGTCATTCACTTGACCTCACCTCGGCAGAACGGAGAGCCAACGAGATACACCCTTCGTGTATCTGGTGACCCGATGGCCAGTTCTCGTGGACTGGCAGGAGTAGGCATAGCACTAAGCATGAGGGCCGAACAAGCACTGCTAGAGCGGATCCCCGTCAACAGTCGTCTATGTGCTGTTCGGCTGAACGGCTACGTAAGAACTCGGAAGGATAGGGACACACGTCGTTGCCTTTTTGTCGTTTCTGCCTACGATCCCACCGACTACAGCTCGGATGAGGTGAAAAATGAATTTTACAGAAAGCTATCTGAACTTCTTCAGAAAGCTAAACGTTCAGACATAGTACTCGTAGGGGGTGACTTTAATGCCCAGATAGATAGTTTAAACCAAACAGAAAGACATTTAGGTGGATATTTTAGTATTCCGACACAGCGAACAGATAATGGTGATCGTCTGCTGCAGCTATGCCCAGACAATCGTTTATTTTTAGCAAACACAAATTTTAAGCATAAGGAGAGACATCGTCTAACATGGCGACCCCCTACACCAAACCAACGATGGACTCAAATAGACCATATTGCCATCAGTCATCGTTGGAGAGGATCGATAGAAGATTGTCGCTCATTCTGGAGTACCTGCTTGGACTCCGACCACGTCCTAATACGGGTACGCATCTGCTTGCGCCTCACTGGACGCAGGAAAGCCACATTAAAAAGACCCATTAGAACTGAGTTGAGTAACGAGAAAACCAAAAGTAGGTTCCAGGAACAACTGAAGTCACACTTAGGTAGTTCTGAAAACGAGGCTGACCCAGATGTTGCTTGGAAAGATATACAAACAGCTGTGGAAACAGCAATGAAATCTATTAGTGACTTAAACCACAGAGTTGCAAAGAACCAGTGGATTTTTTCAAAGTTTATCACACTGATGGATTCTCGCAAACTCATCCCATCAGGTTCCGAACATGATGAAGAGCGACAACAAATCAGATCTAGGTTAAGAAAAAGTCCAAGAAACGACCGTGAGTAGTGGTGGGCAACGAAAGCAAAAGAGATGGAAAAGGCGGCGGCTATAGGGAACACAAGACAGCTCTACAGACTAATAAAAGAACCTGGAATAAATAAGTCAAATGTAGGTCAGACTATTTCGGAAAAAGACGACACCCTCATCTGCTCTCAGTCCAGACGTTTAGAACGATGGGCGGAACATTTCAGAGAACAGTTCAGCTGGCCTTCAGCTACTCTACAACTACCCTCCATTCCCAGACAATGTGAATGGAACATTGAAGTAGGTCCCCCAACTCTTGCTGAAGTTCAAAAGGCTATAGTTAATCTGAAACGAGGAAGGGCAGCTGGTCCAGATGGATTGGCTCCAGAGGTGTTTAAGGATGGTGGTCCAATTCTAGCGATTAGGTTGACTAATATTTTAGCTAAGATCTGGGAATTAGACTTTATCCCATCTGACTGGTCGCAATCACTTATCGTCCCAATATATAAGAAAGGGTCAAAATCATCCTGTGATAACCACAGAGGGATTAGTTCAACAAACATAGTATCTAAAATACTGGCCTCGATAATTTTCAGACGCCTAACTAAGACTCGTGAACTGCAAACACGCGAGAACCAAGCTGGCTTCAGACCTGGTTGTGGCTGCATCGACCACATATTCACCATTCGTCAGGTTCTAGAACACAGGCATACTTATCGGCGACCGACAGTGGTGGTCTTTCTTGACTTTAAAGCAGTATTTGATTCTGTAAACCGCGAGATTATGTGGCAGTGTCTGTCATTGAAAGGCGTACCTCAGAAGTACATAAACCTTGTGAAGGCTCTTTACTCGAACACTACTAGTCGAGTCAGAGCTTATGGCGAACTGTCATCTACTTTTGCAACTTCAAGTGGTGTCCGTCAAGGCTGTCCACTTTCTCCATTTTTGTTTAACTTCATCATAGACCTATTGATGGAAATAACACTCTCGTCGACTGAATTCTCGGGTATTGATCTCCTTCCAGGAGGTCCACTTATCGACTTAGAATACGCAGATGACATAGTCCTGTTTGGTGAAGACGCTGATTCAATGCAGAGTCTTCTGGTAGCACTAAGCAACAATGCCAGAATGTTTGGAATGCGCTTCTCTCCCTCTAAATGCAAGTTGTTGCTTCAGGACTGGTCTGCGTCAACACCTGAACTAAGGATAGGGAGTGAAGTAGTCGAACGCGTCGACAACTTCACTTATCTTGGAAGTCTGATCAGCCCTAATGGGTTGGTGTCTGACGAAATCTCAGCACGGATTCGAAAAGCTCGTTTGGCTTTTGCCAACTTACGTCACCTTTGGCGGAGGCGAGATATCCGTCTATCAATAAAAGGACGAGTATATTGCGCGGCAGTCCGTTCTGTCTTACTTTACGGCAGCGAAACATGGCCTTTAAGAGTAGAAGACACCCGTAAGCTACAAGTATTTGACCACAGATGCCTTAGAAATATTGCTGGCATCTGCTTTGATCACCGATTAAGTAGTAGTGAGGTTAGACGCAGTGTATTAGGGAATGATGGTAAATCAGTTGATGAGGTTATGAATCTTCATCGACTGAGATGGTTGGGCCACGTATTACGTATGCCTAAACACCGATTACCACGACGTGCAATGCTATCCGGTATTGGAGATAGTCGGAAGAAAGTTAGGGGCGGCCAAACCAAAACGTGGCATCAGTGCTTGAAGTCACTAACTTCTAGTCTTAGCCATGTTGGTAGATGCAGACTACTTGGTTGGGGTCCGCGTGACTTTCGTAACCAATGGTTGGAGACTCTTGGTGACATGGCTCAGAATCGATCACAATGGCGTCGGTGTATACACTCTTTGTCTTCCCTTAAACTAAGAGATTAAAATCACTTCATATCTTTCTTTCTACGAACTAATTCTTCCTTCCTATACTATATCCTTATTGCAACCTTTGACCTAACCGCTGCTATGAATCCGGTGTTCATCTTGTTGTGCTAATGAGGTATGGCAACCTGGACCGATGCACATATGTGCCTGGTCCTACGTTGTAGCTGACTGACTGACTGACTGACTGACACTAAGTCACGAAACGTCAGAAAATCTAATTTTCTACTCATTGGGATATTACAAATATATTATTTTATTTATAATTACGAGTTCACTCAGTATTGTGGAATATGCCTCATATATGAAGAGTAATTCGTACGTACTGGGCTTCCCGAGTCTCAACATGTCCAGTTAATCTTGAACTCATACAACACGACATCTGATGAGTACTTAAGAATTTTAGCAACAACAACATTAAGGTTATGTGAACAGTAAAACATTCAAGGTACTTCAGAATCAGCTTTAATATGCATTGTCAGTAAGTAAAAACTCCCGGTTCATATAAATAAAAGTAGATTGAAACGTTTTAGATGATCAGATGACATAATAATAATAATCTTTATTACACTCCTCCGTAAATCTATCATGTTCTGAACAAACTTGAAGCCAGAATGATCAGATGACAAATAAACCACTCTAACCTTACGAGTTACTTTGCATGCCTTTATGTATTTGTCTTTGTCAATCCTGTTAATGGTATTTTATCTTTCCATATACGCGTGCTGTTTGGTATTTATGCATCTATCTGCCCCTCTTTGTCTGCGTGGACCATAAAAACTGAGACACAAAACTATCCGATGAGTTGGTTAGTACACAAATTTCAAAACTACGTTAGTATATTTACTTTCTCCATGTCTAGCAATACGAATATCTCTGAATTATATTCTCAATAACATTTCGCATTCAGCCTTGTTGCTTTGTTCAACGTGACAAATTTAAGAACGTGTAGGTTCAATCAGAACTATATTTCATCATTGGAATCGAATCCACTTCCACAACCGACGAATCAAATGTAAACAACGGTAAAACCAATTATCACAAATTAAATAGTCTATATAAGTTTTAAAGATCAGAAAAAGGAGTCCTAATAGAAAAATTAAACCCAGTAATTAAAAACCATTATTTTACATGTCTCTAACTGATTTTAGTAATCTAAATGAACAAACTGTTTGTAAGTTTCTGAATTGTAAATATTTCACCATTCTATGCCTTTCCATATTTTTAACTTCCGTGGTCAACTTACACAATTCACGTTATTTTTATTTATTATTTAAACACATAAACATTGGTACAAGAAGGCACCAAATATATTTGCTGACTGTATAAACTCTACGTTATATCAATTAAAACTAGAAAAAAAATAACGCTCAAGCGTAAAACAAAATTAAAGTATATTTAGTGAGCTAAAGTAAACTTACGAAAATTGAGGAAAATTTGAAGCAACACAAGTTGACTGAGAGTTCCGATCACTATATGATGAATTCCCAATCCAAGAACGATGTAAAGCAGTTAGTCGACGACTTAGTTCGTCACCACTTGCAAGTGCTTGCAATTGACGAACTATATTTATTATAAGACGATCCATTGTAAACCATGGATATGCATAAATGCTAAACATATCTCGTAATCGATCCTCAAATGTGTTGATATCTTCCCCTCCATCTAATAAATCTTTGACTAAATTAAGAGCGCGAGAGTAATATTGCGACGGTTCAGTACCACCTGTGCATATTCACATAAATGATAGTTGTAACATCAGTAATCAAATGAGAGAACATACGGAAAATTTGAAAGTATAAAATAGCAATGCTAAAAACTGGAGAAAAACTATGAACTCATTTGTACTATGGAGACTGACTTTGAGTCATAGCTTTTTATCTTATCCGAAGGCTTTTTAGAACAAGTTCAGAAAATTTAAGATACATGTACTTGTTAAAACAGCCGAACAGAAAGGAGGGTGTATCTTTGATTTTTTTTGTCATGTGTCTAAAATAACTTCGGTAAGCGGAAGAGGTCATTTAAATAGTGCAATCACTAGACATCTTACGGATATCGTACATCAGGTCAATATACCTTGCAATTTTTCGATGTGCATAATAAACAGCTAAGATCGTCTTAGAAAGTTGTTGCTTCAGAAACCTGGTCTATGTGTTAATATTCCTTTGCCAATTGTGACAGATATTCTTTAGGTGTATCATGAAATTTTGTCAAACTCTTTCCTTCAATTAACTGCATCATATCTTTTTTCGACTGTCTTTTTGATCAGTAATCTCATTTTAATTAACTGAGTGTTACTGATGTTTTTTTCTTATTTGTTATCAGAATTTACTCATCACGTAACCACTTGTTTTTAGCTCTTCGGACTTTTGTTACATTTAATGTTACAGTTTGTTTGTACGAAAGGTATATATTAAAAAAAAATATTCAGTCAATTGGATTTATTTACACCCTTGTGATACTATACTGATATATGACCATAGAAATTTCCAACTAAAATGTTTCATGTAAGTAATTTAAATCACTTTGTAATTATGATTTTAAATATTATAAGTTGTAAGCAGCTGATGAAAACTAAACAAGATACAATGAATTCATGTTATTCTGTTCAAACCTTTTTCTTGTCCTCTACAAGATGCTAAAGAAAACTATGTATGTAAAATGTATCGTATTTACCTGGAACCCATCTGTTTCTATCCTCAGTACAAGTAATTTAGTGATTTCACTACAAACAAGGAAGGTCTGAGAACTCCTAAGAATAATTGTAAGCAGCGTACATATATTTTTAGCTTAGGTAATATGTTTCACTGGGTCATAGACTGCTGAAATTATTGAAACCTAAACGAATCTTCTGCAAACGAACTGTCATTTATCAGCCGTTTATTTATTAGAGCTGATTAAACGCTAAGGATAAACAGAATGGTCAATGAATTCGCGCATTAACGATCAATTACAGAACATTTCCTGTCTGAACACACAAATATCAAACAATTATTATTTTTATAGAAAAAATGAGTTTTGTTCGCAGATAGATTCAGTTACATCATTCTAAAATAAGCGCACTACATGGGTCTAAATTAACAAAATTACGGAGAGCCAGATCGACTATATATGAATCAATAAAAACTTCAGACTATCGATGGAGGACGTGAGAACAAAGATAGAAGTTAACATAGCTTCAGATTACCACCTAGTTTTGGACAAGATAAAATCAAAGCTGAGGAAGCACTCAACAACTTGAAAAACATCATTACAAAAGATTAGTACAGTCTTCCTTCGAGATACTGATAAACTCAACAAATTCAAGATGGGTCTTAACAACAAGTTCCAAATCTTACAAGATCTACTCAAAGAGTAAACTACTATGGAGAACTTGATAGGGTTCAAAAAAGCACTAACATCAACGTGTCAGAAAGTGCCAGGCCACAAGAAGCCTCATCATAAGATATAGATATCTATCGAAATCCTGGATAGGACATAAGAAAAGAATGAGAAGACAGCAATAAACAACAGCCAAACAAGAGCAGAGAAAGCCAAAGCACAGACCGAATACAGAGAAACAAACATGAAAATGAAGATCTCTGACTCGAAATCCTGAAGTGAAAAGGAAAATAGCCAGATTAAGCAATACATTGTGCCGGGAATCGAAGGCACACATTAAAAAAATGAATAGTATCTAGTATCATGTTAAGCCCACGTGGGTTATTCTAGCTTCTGGCAAACTAGTTTATCCATTTTTCTTGAGTCACATTTTTACTTTGTTATCTATTTGCTTATTAACCTTGACTGTTTATATGAGCGTAGGCGTGTGCTTTGTTCAATCTAATCAACACATATCTGTAGTTGATTTTCGTCTGGCTATAAATACTGAGT